ATCGTCTTCTCTCGCTGGTCCGTGATTGGCTGGGTCTCCGTCATCGTCTTCTCTCGCTGGTCCGTGATTGGCTGGGTCTCCGTCATCGTCTTCTCTCGCTGGTCCGTGATTGGCTGGGTCTCCGTCGTCGTCTTCTCTCGCTGGTCCGCGATTGGCTGCGTCTCCTCCGTCGTCTTCTCTCGCTCGTCCGTGATTAACTGCTGCTGCTGCGTCTGCTTGCAGGGGGCGCTGGCGGCGTCGTCGTGAGAGATGACGGAGTTGAGACACTGCAGCCATTGTTTCTTGTTGTGTTCGTCGTTCGCCTCGAACGTCTGGCTCTGCGTCGGATCGCTAACGCAGCCGATGTGAAACAGGCTGCGCTGAGCTGCAGAGTAATAATAATTGCCAATTAATAATTAATTAATAACATTAACGTAGTTTTAATCATTAATCACACAGTGTAATGAATGCGAACGTTTGTCGCTTGCAACATACCCACAAGATTTCGAAGTTGGGTCGGTACGTTTATTTATTCTGCAATGTTGTTTGATGCACACGTAGTATTGCGATATGATATACGCAAACTGATAAATCATGGTTATACATAATTTGAAAAGATCACAATCCATGTGAGCTGTGAGTGCTATGCTTGACAGTGGTAAGCGATTCTTTTTAAACAAAGAATAGACATAATTATTGCATTAATTATCGATTTAATGCATTTCCGCGTAGAAACAAGTTTCCCGGTCGCGCACCGACCGCTGCTGCCCCCTACCTTGACCCTGCGAGGTCAGCGATGACAGCGAGCGGCGGAACGAGGATCGCTGCAGGCCGCCATGTTCTTTTTCGTCGACGGTCATGTCCGCGACGGGCAGCGGTGAGCGGTAGATCTGGTAGAGGGCGGTACTGTTGCGCGTGATCTTGCGCGTGACGACGAGAACCTTCTCGAACAGGAACACGTCGACTTTCTGAAAACGACAGAAAAACGAGAATCAATCGCAAAGCCGAAAACACACAATCAACAAAAATTTTTGTTCCATCGTCAAAGATTTTTCGGCTCCTAAGGAGTGCCTGGGATTGAGCAGTGTGATGCTGCGATTGTACTCGCCTGTCGAAAATAGTAAACAAACGGGCAAATGAATGGAAAACTTAAGCAACAGCAGTCAATAGAAGGTCAGAAAGTTGACGTGTTCGCTATATATATATCACAGTTAACCTATGTTGCCAGGGATGTGAGTAGCATGGAAATAAGTCTGAAATCCAACCAGTCCAAATATATATATATATTATCAGAAGTAGATAATAGGGAAGGAGTGTGACTTCAATAAACAAGGGGAATTCGTCATTTACTAGCCTTAGAATACCTACGATTTA